CCCACCCTGCTTCCTACACTGCTTCCAGCTCCATTTCTTCAAAAGCTGAACCTCCCCAAAGCCTCGAACCTTCTCTGCAGCCCCAGCTTCAGCCTTGATCCTCTCAGCCAGGGCCTTGCTGCCGTCAGCCTCCCCCAGGGCTGCTCTCTGCCAATTCCGCTGCTACCCAATTTAAGGCTTCCCTGCTCCAGGAGGCTTCCTGGCCAGGTCCCTACAGCGGCTCTGCGGTTGCAGGCTTCCCTCACTCTCTCCTGACTCTTGTAGTCTCTCCTCGTTTCTTTCCCCACACCACTTTTCCCTTCCACCCCTCCAGCTCCCACACAACCCCCCCCTCCTCGTCTCCACGCCTTCCTTTCCAGTTTTTGCTCACCGGTTCCAGGATTCTCATTGGTAGCCCCCACATTCTTCACACTGACCCTCATCGCTAAGTAAGCTGTCACAGCTGATGGAGAACATTTACATAATCATGTATTTATTTGCTTCGCTGCCTGTGAGTTTACTCTTCGCTTTGTTGTTTTTGTTGGCTTGTTTGACTTCCACGGAACCAAAGGGACTTTCCCTGTTTCTTGTCATTGAAGCCCTTCAAAGCAACCCAGAAAAACTCCCTTGACTCTTCTCCATCTTGCTAACAACACGGTGGGAAGAGCTGTCCTGCTCCCCGAAGTGCTGACAAGCAACACTATGGCTGGTGAGGTGCAGGGTTCTACCCTAAACTTGCCTAATAATACTTCCTGGAGCCTTGGGAGTGTCTTTTGGAAGGACATCCAAAGGACAGTGACACATTAGTGTAATGGCATTGACTCACTGACTGCTGGAACTTCCCAGCGAGCCCACCGATCCCCAGCTCCCCATGATCTAACTGAGTTGCTTGGTCTTTTGTTTCCCACGTCATTCCCTGCATATTTTTCCCACACCTCTCTTTCTTGTCTCTTTCCCACACTTCTCCCCTGAGCCAGTATCCTAGCTGGGTGTATCTATCTTCTTGGTCTCCTTTGCAAGCCATTCACAAGGCTACAAGCCCCCTCTTCTGCCCCCCACCCCCACCCAGGGATCTGCAGCGAACTCTTCACACTAGTCCTTATACTGTAGGTACTCTGAGAACCTGCTGATGGAACCCTTAATGGTCCCCAGTCACTCACCAACACCCAATGTACTAGTTGATGACAACTCAATCATCCATGCACATGGGGTGGTGGAGGGAGGGACAAAAAGTAAAAGACCATGTGTCCTAATAGTTAAATAGCATCGTGAAAAAAGGAATCTGGTACAGGAATGCTGTTAGATAAGAGGAATAATTTCTGGTGTTCTGTAGCACAGCAGGATAATAATAGTCAACAATAATTTCAATTGTACATTTGAAAATACTACTATAAAAGATTCTGAGTGTTCCCAACACACACACACACACACACACACACACACACACTGGTTATCTGAGGTGGTGGGTATTTGGATCACCCTGATCTGACCATTACACCCCCTACATATAGAACTGTCACACTGTAGACCACAAATATGCACAATTACTAGGTGTCAGTTAAAACTAAAAAGATATTAAAGAAACAAATGAGGGAATGTGTCTAGATCAAATGTTTAACCATCCGCAGCATGCAAGCCTTATTTAGAAACTGCTTTGGAAAAAGAAAAAATAGCTGAAAATACATTTCTGTATCAATTAAAACTGAATATAAGTTAATAGTAGATGATATTATGGGATCTTTGGAGGAGTTTTTGATGGAGGCTGTGTGCCTTTTCTTCAGAGGTTCAGGGTAAAGTACTTAATAGCAAAGTGTCAAGATATCTAGAGCCAAAAGTAGTTTAATCAAATATTAAGGTAAATGGTTAACCACTAAACCAAAGTGAAGTGCTTCTGGATATGGTTACAATTCCTTCAATTTTTGTCTGTATGTAAAGTTTTCAAAATAATAAAAAAAAAATGGGTGGGCAAAGGGGTGACTATGATCAAAGCACATTGTATAGAATTGTCCAAGGGCTAATCAAGTTTTAATGTGTGTGTGTGTGTTCTCAAACGCTTGCTACAGGACTAGTGACATGGCTCGGTGGCTAACGTGCTTGCCACACAAGCATGAGGACCATGAAGACTGGAGGTTAGATCCCCAGAAATCTTGTAAATGCTGAGTGAGTGTGGTGGTCCACTTGTAATTATCGCCTGAGAAGACAGAAAAAGATCCCCAAAGCAAACCGGGTAGCAAGACTAGGCTTGACTGAGAGCTGCCTCAGTGGATAAGGCAGAAAATGGATAGAAGATGATTCCAGACATCAGTCTGGGGATCCCCACACGCATGTGTGCACACACGCGTGTGTCTGTCACACGCAAAGGCATTCGTACCTGTAGACACATGTACAGTCTGTCTTTGCTTCATGTATTGAAGAAGACCAGATAAGGCAAATAAAAGAGTGCCTTAAACTTTATAAAGTTCACACAGGTATGTCATCCGGTGTTTTATTTTGTTTTTTGTTTCTGTTTTTTTTTTCTCATAAAATGTTCCTACTAATTTTATCGAAGCTAACAGGGATAAAAGGTTTAGCTTCACAACACAATTAATGACAATGGGATATTGTGTACTCTGAAAGAGACAACAGCAGGGAGTGGGAAACTAAAGTGCTACTGTTCATCTATGGAGTGTATAATTTCCCTCAGTAACTGGGGAAAAGACTGTAAAACATCCCTCTGTTTACTTGGGCAAAGGGCATGCAACCATATATTTCCTTTATGTGTCTGTTCACATTGAAATGCCAGTCTCAGACCCTAAGTCCCTGGGAGGCAAGGACAATATTTATCCAAATCACAGCTTATCCCCAGCATGATGCCATGGCCAAACAAATGCTTCAGACGGCAATTAAGAAGTTGATGGTGTTGTGCAAAGAACGTGTGCCTTGTCAGAAGAAAATCACTCCATACCCTAAGCCCCAAAATCCTGGAGGGCTTTGCTGCTGGTACAGGTGAAACTCAGCATGGCCTGGTAGCCTGTTACCTGCAAATCCTCCTCCTGGAGCCGCTCCATATACGCCAGCATCTGCTCCTTCTCCTGCTCGCGGTGCTCGGAAATCAGCGATCGCTCCTCTTCGTTCTTTTTTATCTGATTCAAGATGTGCCGCTTTCCCCTGAGAGAAAACAGGACCAGAGTGGCTCTGAAATCAAGAGGCAAGTTTCTACCCTCACTTCTACCCAAATAGGCCCCAAACTGAGAGGTTTCACAAGCAACATGTGACAGGTGAACCTTTGGCGTGCTTATGCTTCCTGCACCTAGGCTAATGTCCTTCCCTCGAGTGCCTGGGTGATAAGCCCTCAGTTTGCTGTGTTCTACTTTCAGGGTATCCCTGTATTAAATTCCTCTTTTTTTTTTTTTAATCTGTCTGCACAGAAGTTACCTTACATCTTAACCACCTCTCCCTTCTAGTATTTAACAAGCTTCTGGAACCTAGCTTTTTTTCCACCAAGTTGTCTAACGATGTGGGAAGACGGCTTCCTCCCCCAGCTTCACAGAACTTTGTAGATTTTCAAAGTCCAGGATCTCTAATTCTTTCAGTGTTTCTCCTCTGTTGTCTCCCAACCTGACTCTCATGCCTACTCTGCCCACTGTCTTTTTGTGTACATACTCACACTGAAGACTCTCGGCTGCTGATACACAGGGCTGAACCCTGAGCTCCACTCAGCAAAGTCCTCTTTTCAACAGTCAATACAGGGCTACCGACTCTACAATCAGTGCTCCCTGCTGTACACCCCCAGGGTGCTGCAAGTATGTCAGTAAACTTGGAGGCACCTAGAGACTGTGACATGAGTAAAGGCTCTAGGGATGGGAGAAGACAAAGCAGAGAGATGAATCCAGAAGAAATGTTAAACTCATATTCAGATACCCTTGTGATGCTTCTTGTGGCCCATAAAGGAAGGAGGGGCAGAAAGAGTTGCCTGGAAAGTGGGCTTGAGCTCAATCGGTGTAAAGATTGGGTCAGGGCACTAGAGCTGCCTAATGAGGTAGAGTGTTCCTTCTCTGGACCTGCTTATAAAGACATTGTAGATGTGAAGAGGAGTGTAGACCGGACAACAGGAAACACTGAGAATGGACGTAACGTTGGAGCACACAGAGAAGCACCTACTACAATCTTGGAAATAAGCTTTACAGATTGTGTGAGTCCCTGTGTCGTTCCATAGGGGATGAGAGACATTGGAGCCTCACAACCAAGTCTCAGCTCTTCCCTCTTCGCTAGGCTACCTGGACTTGAAGATACACGGAAAGAGAGCTGAAAAACGCCAGACCCACGTCTTCACCTACCTCGCCATTTCCTCCTTCCTCTTCCTTTCCCGATCATGGTGCCTTTCAAGGGATTTCAACCGGTCTACTTCCATCATCTCATCCAAACGCTTCTCCTCTGCCTCCAGTTCCTTTCGTATCTGCTGCTTCTCCAGGATTTGGGCATCGCGGATTGCATGGCACTTGGCATTCAGGATAATCTAGGGAGTGGGGAGAAGATTGTGGTACTAGGCTTTGGGGGGCAGGGTGGTAAGATTAAGGAAGGAGGAGTTATGAGTGTGTGGGCATTTAAGGGGGAAGAAATGGGAGCAGAATGTGCTGGAGGTGTGCAGTGTCCATCACGAGTTCTTAGAAAAGGTTCCTTTTATTTTTCACTCACTCCTTAACACAGTATAGTTCAAATATTTACTGGGCTCTTATTGGGCACTAAAGTTTATTCAAGGAGAGACAGAATCACTCAGTATTGTGGAGCTGGAGAGGTAATGGGTCAGCCTTCCAAAATATGATGAAAACCACGACATTCACCTACGTAGACACACACAAAAATCTCCATAAGGCTTTAGCAGTTCCTTCGCAGGGACCAGTGAACACCATGTTATGCTTAGAGGAGCCAAGATGTCCAAGCAGAAATGAAACCACTAGATTTTTTTAATCAAGGAGATCCCAGGTGATGTAAAAGAAATGAGAAACCGTGTGCCATCATTAAGAACCAAAAACTAAGAGCGTTGGGTAAATAAAAGCAGGTACAAGTGGAAAAGATTTACCTATGAGATGGAATTCAGAGATGAAGGGGCTGGGGAGTCAACGTTTTTTCATTTGGTCAATAAGGGAGCCACACTCAATGGAATTACAGAACAGAATAGAATTACAAATGAGCCCCTGACCTTTATGCTCCCTGCTAAAAGAAGTACTCTGCCCACTTCAAAAAGAATCCTATTGTCTCCATCACCATCCGGGGCCAGACTTGAACTAACAGGATAAAAATAAAAGTGAGGTCCTTATCAATGACAGTTCACAAAAGCTACCCCGTATCTTGGCTTACTTAATATTGTCAGTAATTCTGCTAAACAGTGTTGCCATCACTGTTTCACACATGGACTCTTGAGTGAGGCTCAGGGAGAGCAAGTGACTTGCTTGCTCTAGTCATCCATCAAGCAGGGCAAGTCTCCTCCTCCTCCCCTCCTCCTCCTCCTCCTCCTCCTCCTCCTCCTCCTCCTCTTCCTCCTCGTGCCAGCCTGGCCTACAGCAGCCCCTCACCTTGCCCAGTGTGTGGATAAGAACAGAGGGAGTGTCAGTGAGCCCTCAAATAAAAGGAAGAGATCCACCTTGCTCATGTCCTTGAGCTCCTCTTCCTGCTCCATGCGCAGCTTGTTGGCTCTCTCCAGAAGATTCTGGGCCCTCTCTTTCGCCTCCTCCTCCAGGTCACTCAGCTTCTTGTTGTTGCTCCAGGCCATTTCCTTCTGCTTCATGATCTTCTTGCGGATTGTCACTGCTTCCTAAGGGACACCAGCCTGGATTGGTGGGAGTTACTCCCTGGGAACTTGTCTGCCACAGGTAACCTGAGGAGAGTTCTCCTCAGTCCATCACTGTATCAGAGCAGAGAGGTTTCACAGCCCGGCGTTGCTGTCTTTCTCCCTGTGGCCCACATATCCCACCCATCTCTCAAGAATCTCCTCCCAGTCTTCATTGCCTGACATTTCCCGTCTAAATGAGCATGCACACCTCATTTTAACATCCCCTGTGCCGTGAGAAGTTGGCTTCCCCACTCCACTCTTCTATCCTGTCACCCATCCACCAAGGACAAAGCTATGAAGCTGAGTTACCAAGATGGCTTCCTTCTCCTTCTTGAAGGCCTGCTCTCTGGCCACCAACTCTTCTTTGGTGAGGACATGGGATGCCCATTTGATTCGCTCAAACTCTTCAGGGCTGATGATCAGGGATTCCCCAGAGGGGTCCTCTGTGGGAACACTGACACAGGAATGACCATCGTTAGGGAGGAGAGCAGGCTCCAAGCTCCCTCACTCTCTTCTCCACCCCATACTACGCTGAGGCAAAAGAATCTGCAACTTCATGGACCATTGAAGCGAAGGGTTTCAGGGGAGAAGCAAGTGATGCTGCAGATTAAAAAAAAAAAAAGACATTTTACATCTTTCTCTCTATGATCTGTCTCTAGAATGCTACATTCTCTGTGTAACTGTCCTTGTGTGTATGCATGCTCACCCTGCCCCCAGGCATTTTCCTCTGAGTCCCACCACAGTCTGACTCCGTTTTACTGTCCACATCAGGACCAGTCGTGCAAGGCCTGTTTCAAGCTTCTTTGAGATGAGGCTCTATCTTAACTACATCAGTGGCCTTAATCTCTGACCCGGTGCTTGGTACTTAGCACTCAAAATAAAGCTGTTGAATTGAACTTCAAAAAGAGATTAATCCCGATGCATAAAAAAGTATAAGGGAATTCTGGGCAAGGTTGAAATGGATCCTGGTGGGAAATCTAAATATCCCTGCCCATCCAGTCTAGATAGAAGCTTTGAACCCTAAATATTAATTAAAAACTTTGATCGACAGCTGCTGGAGACATGTCTCTTGAACTCTCCTTTTAGCTAGCTACCCAACGCATTCAACAAACCTATAGCTAATTATAATGATTAGAAACAAATAACATACATTAAGGATGGGGGAGGGAGTAGTTGAGAGGCGGGAATAAAGCTGTTTCTGGGCGAGGCAATTTAACAGGTGCATGGCAACAAGACGCAGATGATCTATGGCAGCAAGTGAAATCTCATCTAATAAAACAGGTGGGGGTTGACCAGGAAATAGATTTGCATATTAGTCAAGGTCTTGTGCTGCACCGAGTGGTATGGCCCCAAACAACTGAGGGAATGAAGTGACCAAGACCAACCTGGCTCTAAGACAGGGGATCTGAAACACCACCAGTGTGCCTGCAGAGAGGCCACTCCAAAAAGTAGCACCCCTCGGGCCACTGCCTGCAACGTCGGGCTGTCAGGTGGCCAGCCTCAACTAAACAAAGGCTGTGCTCAAGTCCAGCTCCTGCACTGGGATCCAGCTGTGTCTCTTCAGCTTGAGCCATGAGTCAAGGGCTTCAAATTCTGGGAACTTACATCATTCACCATTCAGCAGTGGAGCCAGAGTGGTAGGAATGGGTAGAGAGCAGGAGACACTAAACACAAGTGCTAAACCACCAAAACACGGCCCTGTCTCCCTGGCACTTGGCGGAGCTGAGCATGCAGCAGTAGCAGGAGTCCAGTGGTACTGCTCCAGTCAGGAAGCAAAACTGAGGTCACCTCAGGGGAGCCTGGAGAGGCCCTGTGAATTTCCTCTGGTAGCCATACAGTCTGGGAAGGAGCCAGCGTGCTAATTAGGCATCTGGTCAGTTTCCCCTTGCTTTGGATTCCTGATGTAGCCAAAAGGAAGTGACTCATTGGGTTCACTTCCCTTCACCAAGTACACTACTGAGGGCTTAGAAGCATTGCCCCTCTACTGATGACTTTCAGAGCCCAAAGCTCATCCTAAGAAAGGGAGGAGAGAGAAACTTTGGAGGGAAGGGCAGTGTAATGGTGCCTATGAAAGGGAAAAGAGAAAGGCCAAGATGGAGAAGAGAGAACTCTGAAACAAAAATGGGGACATATATTGGTTCTTTTCTTTCACAGGTAGAATTTAGGTGTGTGTGTGTGTGTGTGTGTGTGTGTGTGTGTGTGTGTGATCACAGAAATAGAGAACTGTAAGAGGGAGGAAGAGATTTAAATAGGAGAAGGGAACTATAGATCATATTGGAATATATGTGTCTATATGTGTCATGATCGCAGACAGGGACTGTTTGGAGGAAGAAGGGGACCATGGAGAAGGGGAGAGGGAAGACAGGGAAGGCACTGGGGAAAAGACAAATAAGAACAAAGTATATAGATACAAGAAAATGTCCCAATGAAACCCACTTCTGTGTGTATTAACCAGAAAAGAGTTTTTAAAAACAATCTATACAGGCAAACAAAACAAAAAGACACAAGAGGAAGAGAAGAGGAGAGGGGTGAACAGGAAGGCAGCTGGAATTGGGCTGCCTCGATACACCTGCCCGGTTTCCCCATCGCCCTGTACAAAGGCAGTGCTGGCTGAGCCAGGAACCCAGGACTGTGCCGTGGGGACTCACATGAGTTCTCGGACCATGTCTCGGGTGATGAGCTGGATTTTCTCTGGCTTGTGGTCCAAGCCCAGATCAGTGAGAGTTTTCCGGACAGCATGTTTATCTCGGAGAAGCACGATAGGGCTGTCACTCCTGCCCTGGGGCGTAGGCTATGAGATCAGATAGGAAGACTGAGAAGCTGGTCATTCCACTTCCCGCTGACCCATTCTAACTGCAGGGGTAGCGTCCCTGGGGCTCGGGCATTGTAGTGCCTCTTACTCTTGGGCAGGCATTCCTCCTGAGGATGCCAGAGACTGTGCCAAGGGATGGGGAGGAGAGGGGGGTGACAATGTATATCTATCCCTATGTTAAAACCATTAGGAATGAAATTAAAATGTTCGTGTGCAGGTTATCTCTCTGTGAACATTTCTGGTCTTGTGAAATTCTTGGACCACACTGTGAGTTTGAAACAATACATGTTACAGATTAATCTATCCCTTAGTTTTAGTCATTTGCAATCTTTTCTAATGATTAATAGTCCGAGAGAGAGAGGTGGAAGAAGGAAGAAGAAGAGAGAGAGAGAAGAAGAGAGAGAGAGAGAAAGCCATATGGAGGGAGTTAGACATAGCTAAGTAGCCTTTAAATCTTAAGTGTTTGGGCCAAGCATTGTGGCGCACACCTTTGATCCGAGCAACTGGGAGGCAGAGGCAGGAGGAAAACTAGTTTGAAGCCAGCCTAGGTTACACATCAAGACACTCAGCAAAAACAAATGTGGTTAAGAAGGTCACCGAGGATTCTGCAAAATGAACACAGATCAGGTGTGTGAGCTTTTTTTTTTTTTTTTTTTTTTTTTTTTCCTAACAGTGAAAAGGGTTATCAAGAAAATGCAACCAAAAAAAGAGAAAATTAAGAAAAAGAAAATGCACCCACCCATTTTGTAAACACGGTATGAACACTGATCAGGTGTGTGAGTTTTTTTTTTTTTTTTTTTTTTTTTTCCTAACAGTGAAAAGGGTTATCAAGAAAATGCAACCAAAAAAAGAGAAAATTAAGAAAAAGAAAATGCACCCACCCATTTTGTAAACACGGTAAAATATAGGTGCTGGAAATGCAGTAACTGACACCTGCCCGGTATCTGAGGGGCAGGAGGTGGGCGAGGGGGAGGTGGCTTTGACTAATTCACTTTGCACTGTCCCCTGAGCGAGCGCTGCTGCCACCTGCTGTTCATCTCTGCTTCCGGAAGGGCACGACTCAGTCGTGCCACGGGCCACTTCTGCCCCCTACCGCCAACTTCCTGGACTCTCATCTACCCATAAGGCCACAGAACTTGGGCCGACGAATTCTTGTAGCACTTGGCCATTTCCCACCCTCGTTTTGACTAGAAATTTCCATGAGGACCCTTCTCCTCAAAAAAGAGACTCTAAGTGTAATTATGAAATCGCATCCTTTTGATGCTTGTCTCTACCGGTGGGGAAAACACTGCAGATGGGGACATCTTCCGAGGGACCCTCTAGAAAGCCATCATCCACGCACATGGAGACCAGTGAAGAGAAGGAACAGAGACACCAGCTCTCTATTCCCCAGCCCACCTATGCTTCCAACGAGCCACTTCTTTCTCCTCTCTGCTCTTCCTCTCAATCCTTTCTTGCTCGGCAATCCGAGTCTCACTCTTTTTTTCCCATTTCTCATCTGCCACCACAGACACAAAAATTGTCCCAAACAACTCCTCTTCTTTTCTTCATTCCAGGAATTGTCATTGTCCTAGTCTGGGTCTGTCTTGCTTGTCTCCCCAAGCTAAGCAATTGTTTTAGTTGAGCACCTGAAGTTGAAAGGGGGTGACTGTTTGTGTTGCTTTGTACTCTGACGCTGTGAAGCAATGGGAATTTTCAGGGGTGAGGAACCAGGTACCTCTGTCTTGGAACACACTGGATGTTCGGGACTGTACAGCTAGGGCCCCTCAACTTCCCCATTTCCTTTGGTATGAAATCTCAGCAAGGTGGCTAGTACAAGCTTCATCCTAAGCAACGTTGGTCTAGGAGTGGGGAAGGGGGGGAGGGGTCTGCTGATGGTTAGTTACCTTGACACCTCCAAAAAGGCTCTCATCTACCTCAGAGTTCATGGCTTTGGTCCGATAGCGAGTCCTATTCCGTGACCTATTGGAAGCAGTGGAAACGGAGCTTGAGGCATCCCCTGTGCTTTGTGGCTGCAGGAAGAGACGGAAAGTATTGGACATCAGCATCCAGCGACATTGAGACCACAGGCAGCGAACATCTCTCTGGTTTATGTGGAGAACTAGAAAGGTGGCCGTGTTGGGCGTGCCTCTTGCAGAGAGTGTCTGCATAGGCCCTGAAATGTAGGGGCACAACATCCCCTTGGGGTAGGGGGGATCTCTTGATAAGGCCCACTAGCCCTACAAAAGAGAGTTTCTGTAGTCTTGCGAGCTGATAAAGCCAAGTCAGTCCCAAGGTACAAATGAAAGGTTGGAGAAAAAGATGACAAGAGGAAAGGAGTAACGCTGCACCCCGTTGTCTGCCCCGGTGTGTTTCCCCACAAGGACGGCCTTGAGGAGGCAGCTGAGCCTGTCCTCTTATGGCCGGCCTTCTCAGCTCACCTCTAGGGCCCCCTTCGCTAAGGGCGTACCACAAAAGGAAATAAAAGATGTAGAGACTCATTCAGGCCACAGCTCAGCATGCGATGGCTGACAAACTTTAGGTAGTGGATGAACAATAATCACCCGCTACAATCAGACAAGAACCAAAGTGTAACACACACTATACCATTCCCAGGTTTGGCAAATTCCTCCTCTAACAACTGTGAGAGACAAGACTCATTCCCAACAACAAAAGCTGAAAACAACATGTATTTGCCTTCCTAGTCAAGCAGGGGATCTAAGCTGAGCCAACCAGACGCCCCCGACACGATGGTGACTAAAGAGCCCTAGAGAGCCGGTGATGCAAGACACAGAACAAGGAAAGCCTGTCTGACGCGGGCGGCAAGAGCAGTCACACTCAGCATCTGGGGCAACACTGATAAGGATACCACCAGCATGCAAAGCCAGCCATGCTTTGGATTTTGGCCTTGGTTACAGCTGAAAAGGCACCCTTTGTTCCTATTTTCCAAACCTTGCTTCCCTGCTGGTGCAAAATCAGCGGGCTTTCCTAAACCCTCTCAGGGTGTTCCATCCTATTTAAATAAGAGTTCTGGTTCTGCTGCTTACAGCCGAGAACCCAGCTAGTCACAACCTCCAATCCCAGCGGTCAGTTCTACTTCAGCTTGGCCGGGAGAGTAGATGTCTACATCCAGGAAGCCGTTTCTGCTAGGACTTTTGGATAACAGTAGCCTTAATCTAAAGCTGATTCATACATTACTTTGGAGGAGCCCACACCCGCCTCGACCAAGCTCAATAAGCAGAGATATCTTGGGGAAATGGTCTAGACACACTGGGTCTCTCCAAGTCTGGGAACCAGCAGCCACAGCATTGGGGTGGGGTGGGGGGGATCGTAACAGGCGTGGACCTTGCATTCCAGGTCGCTAAACATTGGCCAGTGTTTTACAAGCTCTCCATGATTTGCCATTACCAACAAGACCTCCTCCCAGACCCCGTAGCACCTGTGCCGGGTTTTCACACCAAACTGGGCAATAATTCCTCTCTACCAAACAATGAGAACTGTTGGGTGTGCCTTCCCCTCGCTGCCTGGCACAGGCAGCAGAGGCTTGCAGAGGGAGCCAGCCCCCCTTACGTCTTCAGCCAGCCCCAAGACAACCGAGCAAACAAGCCTGGGCTTATAAAAGAGTAAATATGGCAGCACCGATGATGCCTAATGGCAGTCTCTGATGGGTTGTCATATGGCGGGGGTGAGCAACTGCTCCCCTGTCCGTTGAAAATAGCATAAGAGGAAATGAACAGAAACTTCAGTAGATAGGATGGGGGGGCTTGAAGGACAATGAAGGGCGGAGTTTGAGTTCTCTGTGTATTAAGGGAGAAAGTGCAGGGCCTGGCACATAGTAGGAACCCAACTTACATATGACACAAAGCAAGGAAAGAAATTAAACAAAGTGACCTCACAAGGAGTCTAGCCCAAACGGAGATGCGTGTCTCTGGGAAATGCATGTCTGACTCCAAGTCACTCCACCATTCCACGTTTTCCAGATCACGTATGCGGTCTGCACTGTGGATAATAACATATACGACAGGGCTTTGGAGTACAGATGGAAAGTATCATTATTGTTTTCGCATCTGTTTTCCTGTTTCTTTTCAAGGGTTCCTTGTGTGTGGCATTGTGCACCAGACTATAGGTCCCTCAAGGCAGAGACTGTCTTCTCTTTCCTTTGTCCTTGGAACCCAGGTTGGAGGAAGCCACTGCAGGAAATAATCCACTGCCTGAGCCTAGAAGTCAGAACAGAGGAAGGAAAGCAAATGACCACAGAAAAATAGCCACTGAGCAGGCTGGGGGGGGGGGAAGCTATGAGCTCTCTTGTTGGGTATCTGAGTAAACCTCATTTGAGAACCGCTGACTTTGAAGCCACAAGCCTTACCCCAAGGCTAGAATAACCAATTTTGCCAAGAGTAACAAGAAGAACTAGGGAGGTCACTGTGTAAACACGCTAGAAAAAAGAAAGAAGAACCAAGCAAAAATGGAAAGTTGGATCCCTCTGGATCAGAGGTAGTAGCCAAGTGGTCTTCTTAGGAGGTAAAGGGCTGGCTTCATTTCTTGCGTTACCAAATAAATATCCCCACAACGCTGAGCAGTGGCTAGCCAGAAGCTGCCTGCCCCTGCTTGGAAGGAGACAGTGTTGGAAGGAAAAGCTGCTTGCTCCAGCTACCAACAGCTGAGAAGGCCAGGGGCAATGGGGAAGATGAAGGTTGATCAAGGAACAGACAAAATGCAAGCCCTGCATTAATATGCTTACCTTGGTGACCCAGCTGCCCCCTTCTCTTTAAATCCCATCTCATCCCATGGGCATGGCAATCCCTTCTAAACAAGGCTGCTCTAACAGAGATGCTGAGGCAGAAAGGTTAAGTCAAATGGACAGAGATGAAATAGGGAGAGCTCTATAATATACAGAGTTTTTAAGGAAACTCTTTCAATAGAAGAGGGAGGAGGATGTGATGGGAACAGGAAAGGATATTGACAAGAAACACATTCTAAGAAATACACAAGTACTCCTATAGAAATGTTGGAAACGAGGGCTGGCTTTAATTGCAAAATGCTTGTTGCACAAAAGTGTGAGGACCTGAGTTTGAATCTCTGGACTCACATAAAAACCAAGCATAGCAGCACACATCTGTGGTTCTACCCCTGGCATTTCAGGTGAGTATTAACATCTGAAGCTGTTCCTCATATTGAGTAACTTTCTGCAGTGAATTGATAACTATTTTATGGCCCAGAAACATAATAATAGTATAATAATAATAAACTCTTTCTTGTTGAAAACAAAGTGTAACTGTATGGGGCTGGTACATGTCTCTGAAGGCAAGACAGTGCAGCCCCTAAAAACAAACTTAATTTTATTTATACAGATGGCAGGATCTAGGATACTTGGTTTAAATTCAACAAGACAATACTAGCAGGGGCTGGAATAGGTCGGTGTGGAGTTTCCCTGATGTAAGTCCAACACCTGTCAATTGAACAAAGACAAAGGCATGTTCGTTCTTAGATGCCCTTCCTACTCTGAGGTCTAGTTCCTCTTACACACAGAGTCAACACAAGCTGACACAGTCAGACTTCAGTTTCTTGGCCTAGTGTACTTCCTTTCCATAGACTTGGCTATTAAGAAAGGAGGGATCCCCACATCGGGCCCCTGGCTTTTTACTCTGAGCGATCCAGCTGGTTGGCCTCTGTCTTTAAGTGGACCAGATTGCTCATCTGTGGCAGATCACCTAACATCACAGCAGAGTTGGTACTGAGGCACCCACCCCTCCCTCTGGAGAATGCTATTAATCATTTTCTTTTGAAGCGATTAATAGCCTATGATTTCCCTCTCTTCTCATTCCTCCATGCTCTCAAAAAAGCTTGTGAGTAGCACTATAGACACGCACACACACATATGCACACCATACACACACACACACACACACACACACACACACACACACACACGCGCGCGCACACACACCTGGCCTGCTAGGGATTACTCAAACCCACTATCTTCCCAACATGACTATATACCCATTCCTATCCAAAGGGTTTTATATGGGTTGAGTCACTTAGCCAGATCCTTGTCCTGAGTGGTCTTCGGATGACAATCTCTGAGCTTGGGGGCTATGCAGTCCACAAGTCTAGCTAGTCCACTGCAACTTACTGATTCATGAATGCTTGGGAAATGGATACTTTTAAAACAGAAGAGATGAGCTGACATCTGCTGCCTGTCCTTAGATACTAGGCGTGATGCCAGGTCAACACACACCCCCACACCCCCACACACACACTGCTGTGCTGAGGGGAGACAATCAAATAACATGTACAACCAAAGGAGATCCCCCATCACTACATTCCAGAGGGTCCCCTAAAGTTGGGAACTTGAAGACTTATTTTATAATTAGCTTCTTTTGAAATCCACTAAACCCCACAAAAAGCAAGGCAGCCTCTGAGCCTAAAGTGTGTCCACAAATACAACCCAATTACCCTCTTTAGCCACCCAGGTTGCCAGACATTCTAAGAAAGTCCCAGTGACTGTATGCTCCAACATCTGTCCGAAGCCTCCCTTAACCCATCAGAACCAACACGCTCAGGCCCAGGCTTTCAGGGCTCCTACCAGGTCTTGCTGATCCCTCAATCTATGACCATGGCAGTCCACCCCAGCTCAAGGAATCTCGGGACTGTCCGACTTATCCCAGTCATTCCCTAGAACTTTGTAAACCTGGGATCCTCCTCATCCATCCATCCATCCATCCATCCATCCATCCACTCATCCATTCACAAATTTTATGGCGTGCCCACCGAGTGATCCTAAATCATTCCCACACAAGTGAGAACCGAGGCTCTTCTGGAACATTAGGTGCCTTTTCCATGATCACCCTACTGGTTAGCCGCATAGCAGTGTCGTCGAGCCCATCATCTGGCCTTCTTACCGGAGCTTTTCTCCACATCACATCCCACCACCCAAGAGGGCCAGGGCAATGGGATGGCGAAAGGTGCAGCACATCCCCCAATCAGCCCTACCCGAGGTTGCCAATCACTACTAAGTCTTTTGAATCTGCCTCTGGACTTCATTTGCTCCGTTTTCAGGATGGTCCCGTCCACACTCCTAGAACTTCCTATCCTCCCCAGCCTCTCCGAGACAACCCCAGCTTTCCCCCTCAAAGCCCATTTCACCTCAGGACTCAGGAACTATAGCTACCCAGAGCCTCACCATCTCTGCCACCGCTTCAGCTGATGGCGCTGCCACCGGCTCCGCGGGAGCTGACGCGTTACCGTAGCAACCGAGAACCCACAGTCAGCGTCTTAGCCCCGCCCCCTACACTGCCCCTCCCAATTCCTGGGGCAGCCACAAGGTAGTTTAGAAGCAGGAACTCTTCTCTCAAGCTTTTCCCGTCCTACAGTGGAGTGGGAACAAGGCTTTTGAAGGTTGAGCCCCTTGGATACGCCCCTGACGTCCATTTCTGCTTTGACTCAGTTTAAGTCAGCCTGAAACTTTAAAGGACCTACTTTCCATGAGCTCCCGAGGGCTCAACTATCAGGAGCCCAAGAGCCAGGCCCAGGATCGTGGTTTTCCCTCACAGACCCTTCCACCCACCCTAGGTTACCATGGTTACTGCTACGGGTTTCCAGGAGGATCCAAACCAAACCTGATGAGAGTTCAGGCTGCAGAGAAGCAGCAGCATTAAAACAAACAAATTTCACAGTAGGAGGGAGTCTGACGAGGCCAAAGATGGGTATATAGTCTCACAAGCTCTGAGATCTGGGGGAGTTTATTGAAAATACAGGGAGTCTGGGACAGTTCAAAACCAGCCTAGGCAACAGAGTAAGCTTCATCTCAATAAATAAGTAAAAACTAAAAATGTAAGTCCTACCTAAACGACGTCAAAAATCCATAGCTCCAGCTTAGGGGGCCTGCCTTTCACCTACTGTGAATGTTTTCAGGAGCTCTAAGCTTCACCCGTTTGGCTTTGGTCCCCCGTGCCTCCCCATCTGCAGGACAGAACCGAACAGACCTGGGATCCTGCATGCCCCACAACTCACGAAACCTCCCACAAACCAGGTGAGGTGCTTTGTTGTTGTTGTTGTTGTTGTTGTTGTTGTTGTTGTTGTTGTTGTTGTTGTTGTTGTTGTCTTTGTTTGTGTTGTTGTTGTTGTTGTTGTTGTTGTTGTTGTTGTTGTTTTTCTTTCTCAGAGGTTTATTTTCTGAGTTCTTGGTCTCTCCAAAACCCCAAATCTCCCTCCAAACTCTGACCCTTATTCAAACCTAAGCATCAAAAGCAGTTGGCAAGCTCTGGGGAAGTAGAGGGAGGGAGACGGGGTTACCTGCCCACCACCTCCACCACTGCCTCTGCTGCTGCTTAATCCAAAAAGCTACGGTGTTCATTCCCTGGATTCCTCCACTCTTATCTCCCTTGGAATCCAATTATTAACCACATCTCTCTGAGGTAGATATTAGCCCCATAACCAAAGAGAAAGACCAGGAGAGGCAACTGCAAAACTAAGCATGTGTTCAACTCAGACTGCCACGCTGAAGGAAGGGTGTAAAAGGCTGGGGGGAGGGGGCGTTTTGGGTGACAGTGATTGCGCACCGTAAAGAAATCACCCCCAGCAGTCTGTCTGAAAGTAGCTCACAGTGAACAGTGCCTTGCTCCAGGCCTGCGGCTGGCATGAGGCACTTAAGGCTCATAGCAAAGCCCTGAGCCATATGTCTGCTTAGTCATGTATTTGTGCAACGTCAGTTGATTTAAAGAAGCATTTATTCTGGATTTAGCGGCACATGCTGTTGTGGCTTCCATCACTTGCGTGTACAGTTAAGACTCTCCCAGAATAGGAAAGCTTCCTGGAATGCTCCTCCCACCAGACTACTAAGTCAACTCCCTGGACATCCAGGCAGCCACTAATCAACCATATTCTCCATATATCTGTGTTGTGATGCCTGATGCCTACAGGATCCGAAAATGGAGGGGAAACAAGGCTGGGAATGAACAAAGCCAGAAGCCAGTCTGTGGGAAAATATTCCTCTAACCATCAGTGCTGTAGAGCTGTAGGTGGGCATGGAAGATGGATCTCTGGATAAAATGTGTGACACATAAGCCTGAAGACCAGAGTTCAGCTCCCCAAAACCCACATAAACGCCTGATGAGACTAGTAGGCATGACAGTCCCTAATCTCAAGAGGCAGAGATGGGGGTCCCAAAGCAATTCAGCCTCCTAGCTTAACAGAATCAGAAAGCTCTGGATTTAAGTGGGAGACCTAACTTCAATATATAAGGTGGGGAGGACACCCAATACCAACCTCCCGTCTCCACAGCCATGCACACTCATGCAATGTATCTGAGCACACATGCAAGCACATGCATGCACACCGTGTGTGTGTACACATACAAGTAAGACTAGGACAAAATGCTAAATGGGGATTCCATTTATATTAGTGCTTAGCAAACTTTGTAAATTAAATGCTTAGTAAACTTTGGGTCCAGAAAGAGACACAACAATGCAACTCACAAAGTTACATGTACATCAGATGTTTCCTCAGGGAAAAGCTGCCCCCGGGGCCCCCAGACTGGCTGGCCTCTTGCATTTCTCCTTCACTGATGTTTTCTCTTTGCATTTCTTTATTTCAGCACCTGAAATACACAAGTCACCCGAGTTTTCCTAAGCATAATGAGGCAGTCTTCTCATTTGAAAACTGTCCAAGTTGTGTGTTAGTTTCCCACTGCTGCTGTAACAAGTCACCATGAGCTTAGTAGCCTAAATAAACACAAATTTATTACCGTTTTAAAGTTTGAAGTGGGCTTCAGTAGGCTAAAATCTAAGTACCAGTGGGGATTTGATGGGGAACATCCTTCTGTGTATGTTTGTCTTATTGGTTGATACATAAAGCACTGTTGGCCAATAGGAAAGCAAGATAGGTATGACTAGGAGAGAAGGAGGATTCTGGGAAATGTAGTAAGGAGAGGAGTCATCGTGTAATCCCTGCAAGAGAGGACGCATGCCACCAGCATCCTTGGTAAGATAAGTCTTTATAAAATATATAGATTTATGGTTATGGTTGATACTTAGGACAGAGCTAGCAAATGAGAAATCCTACTCATTGGCCAGCTGCATTTAACTAACATAAGACTCTGTGTGTTGTTTAGGGGCCCCAGAGTGGTGGTAGAACTCAGGCAGCTGGCAGAAAGAGTTATCCTTACAGGGATACATTCTTCCTAGGGATTCTGGTGTTCCTCAGGTTGCCCCTTTCCCTTGGCTCATGACCTCTTCCACTATCCACAAAGGCAACATTGTGGACTGTCTCTGCAGTAGTCACACTTCCTCTGCTGGGAAAGGCTCTCTGACTTTTCAGGACTCTGTCCACCCAGAACATTGAAGACCACCCCCACCCCATCTCAGGCTCCTTAACTTAATCATTTCCAAAAAGCTGCTTTTTCCATATAAGGTGAATATTCACAAGTTCTGGGGATAAAGAGGTGGACCTCTGGGCACTGTGGTTGGAAGGGTGTGCTTCATTCTGCCTACCGAACAGTGAAGCATAACAAGGGTATTTTAAGGGCTCTGTGACATATTTGCTCCTTAAATTTTTGAACACTTTTCTTATCTATCATTTTTATGTACATGAGTATAATGATTAAATTGTTTGCGTAGCACATGCCTGCAGTACCCCTGGGGGCCAGAAGATGGCATTGGATCCCCTGGAACTGAAGTTACAGAGCGTTAGGATCTGCCCTGTGGGTGCTGGGAATCAAAACTGGGTCCTCAAGAAGAGCACAGATCCATCTCTCCATGCCCTGCAATATGTTTCCAAAGATTTGAAAAATAAAATGAAATTTATTGAGCATGCTGCTTTAAACTCCATTTTATTTATGTTTTTATTTGAAGCTTCTTTTATACTGAAAATATTTTTTCATACAATGTGTTCTGACCACAGTTACCCCTCTCATCTTCTCTCAGATCCTCCCCACCCACCCTTCCAACTTCATACCTTCGTCCTCTCTCTTTAGAAAACAAATAAAATTAGTACATAAGGAAAAGAAAAAAGGAAGAAAGGAAAAACATGAGAAACACATACACATACAGACACACACAAACCCACACAATAAATAAATAAATAACAAAAAATAGCTGGGTGATAGTGAGTTTGAGGTCATCCTGGTCTACAAAGAGAGTTCCAGAACAGTCAGGAACTCTGTTTTAAAGCAACAACAACAAACCCACAAAAATCAGAAACCATAGCATATAAGCAAAAGACCAGTCAGGAGGTAAAATGTCCAGACAAAGCAATATGAGACCAAAAAGAAAAAAAATGCCACTGAGTCCATTCTGTGTTGGCCATCTACTGCTGGACGTGGGGCCTGGCCTTTCGAGTGGTCTGTATACCCAATGAGACTCCACTGGAGAAACTAACTGTTCCTTTACCAGTGCTTGTCAACTACAGACAGCTTCTTCGCTAGGGATGGGAGCTCATGTCCATTTCCCCCACTTGGCTTGGACCTGTGCAAGCCCTGTGTTTACTGCCACAGCCTTCTGGGTTCATATGTGCATCAGTCTTGTTGTGTCTGGAAGACAGTTTCCTTGGTGTCATCCATCCCCTCCAGCTCTTACAGTCTTTCAGCCTCCTCTTCTGTATAGTTCCCTGTGCCCTAAGGGGAAGGGGTTAATGAGGACATCCCATTTTGGACTGATATTTTTGTTGGGGGGGTGCTGGCGTGATTCCCCTGTCTCTGCCTTCCATCTCCATGTAAGAGCACCATGAATACCAACATGGACTATGATATCCAGAGATCGAGTTTAGGTAGGTCAAGCTTTTGCAGCTAGTACTTTTATCCACTGAGAAATCTCCTTAAACTGAGAATCCAACTCAGGGCCTCAGGCATCCCAGGAAAGTGCTCTACCACTGACCTAAATCCCCAGCTGCAAGTCAAATTTCAAAGATTTCTGATTTGGATACATATGGACACTGTATTTTCTTCTTACATCTTTAAGTGTGTCTATTAAAAGGCATCAAATTAACTTAAAATGGACATCTCATGAAGCAGAAATAGAAAGAAAAAAAAAAAAGCCCTGAAATCGGTAGGAATTACTTTAAAATTGAGAAGCAAATTAAAACAATTTTTAAATTATACTGCAAAAAGAGTAATTCCAAAAGAGGAACGGATGAAATTTGAAGGAATAAGAAGACTAAATTTAGGTTGTGTAGTAATCCACTTACCAAGAAGAGGGAAATGCTACAAACATTGGGAGAATGTTAAATTTTTTGTTGACTTAATATAAAGCACTGACATTGACAGAGAATGCATGAAACCCATATTAGCACGGCAAGAGGAGACCAGCGACAATCTGATTAATGAGTATCATCAATTCAAAGGACACTTAAGATTAATTACTGAACAATGCTCTGAAACCCTACAACTCCTATAAGAAAGAAATTTAGTACAAATTTTCCCAAATTTGACAACAACAAAAACTGACGTGATTTTGCCTACAACAAACTGTGAAGTGAGACATTCCAATCTACCAATAATTACAAAAATACTGATCAGTCCACATCCCAGGGAAGACTGGGTTGTCTTGCTCAGGCTAGAAAATCATGATCAGGTGAGAGGCTAAGAGAGGGGGCGAAAGGCCATGCGCAAAACATATTACTCCTGGGGTGGAGATTGTTTTGTGACATTTTCCAGAATGCTTAGAGCTTATAATTATTCCAGCTTCGTTTATTATTCCAAGGGTTTGGTTCTGTGTTCAATTTTGGATTAATAATTTCAATATACAGAGAAACCCTGTCTCGAAAAAACAAAATAATAATAATAATAAAATAATAATAATAATAATAATAATAATAATAATAATATAATTTCAGATTGCTCCATTGGGGCTTCCAAAAAGCTTCAGGCCTCACAACACTCTTTTTATTTTTCTTCTTCTCTTTCCCAGCAGAGCTTGGCTCCAAAGCACAGCAGTATCCTATCCTTGTCTAGTAAGGGTTCAGACCATTACCTCCCTCCACCAGCCCCTCCCATTCACTCATCCCTCTACAGCCTTCTCTTCTTCCAGCTGTGGCCACCTGCTCATCTTTGGAGTCCTTTCCCTTCCACCTTCCCCCATAAGCATTCTTTTGTTTGTTTGTTTGTTGCTCTCCTCTGCTCTCTCTGTCCCATTTTCATCATGTCCTCACTGTCCAGCAAGTCCCCAGATGAGAGCTATGAGAAGGGGGGGGTACTGTTCCACTCAACCTGACCCCACCTCAGGCTGCCTGACCCTCCCAACCATGACATCTCTCACAGGGAAGCCCCACACTAAGGCCCAGGTTGCTAGCCAGCGGTCAGGATCCAGGAGACTGGTGGAGGCAAGAGCCTGGAGCACAGCCTGTCAGTTCTGGTTTGGACTTGGCCCTGGAACAGCCTTCTGACCCCTTGGAGCCTTGAAGGGTGACTGGCCAGGCACCTTGGGATGCTCCCCACACTGGCTGAGGCGGGAGATCTAGGAAGTTTGACTCTGATGAATAAGCACGTTTAGCTGGAGCCTGGGAAACATGGTCCAGCAGTACTATTAAAGTCTGGCTTCTCACTGGAGCGTGTCTCCTGTCTAAGCAGTGAGAAGGGAGACTGATGCTCTGCTACTTTTTGTCCTCCCCTTCCTCTGGCCTCTCTGAAATGCACGGAGGAACCTGGCCTCCCAGCACTAGGGTGACACACTCTGAAGCTAGGCGAGGAAGGAAACTGGATGGGGCAGCTGGGCATGGAACTCCACGTTCCTGTAGAGGGTTTGTGTACCTTGCTTACGGCTCTCCTGCACGGAGTCTTTCTGGACTCCTATACTCGGACTCGGGAGTTGTTGTGGCCAAGAGTCACCTCCATCCTCTGGACCTGTCCTGTCACCTTCGCTAGCCTTTGTTTCCATTTTAGAGGTATCCAGTTGTTCCTCAGTAGAGAAGCTGTTTCTTCTGAGTCTGGTTTCCAGCCAAAATCCCATCTTGGAGGGCCTGGAGGAAGCTCTCCCATGCTGTGTTCCCTGGGGGAACAGAATGGAAAAGGACAACTATGATTTTAGAGTCTCCCAAGGCTTGACCCTGGCCTGGGCCTGGTTTCCTCTTGGGAAAGGATAATAGCCCCCACCCTGGGGGATCGGGGAGGAGTAAGAAGATAAGACCAAGCTCAAAAATCAGTGTGCAGTATTTTCTTACCCCCAGCCACGCATTGCGGGGGGGGGGGGAGGTTGTCCTTGGTATAGCACAAACATCAGGACTCAGGAATGGATCTTACCCTCTCTACTAAGCTTGGTGAGGCTAGAGAGCTGCGTCACCATCCCCTTTCCTGGAACACTTAAATTCTTCAAACCACCCTAAATTCTTTTGAAATCAAAGGAAGGCTCAAAACATAAATAAATGCTTAAACGCACGAATTACTTTACTTAAATTGCTAACTGCTTTCCATCTGTCTTCAAAACTCCCTTTCTCTTTCCTGTTCTTAACGACTGCCCAAGAGACCCAGCTGAGGCAGGGAGAGAAGAGAGCCTAA